GCCTTGAACTGGGCACTTACTGCATTCTACTGTTGCCTGACGAATCTAACTCTGTTCCTGTGAGCACTAGACGACGCAACGCTGTTTGCCAATGGCAGTCTAAACAGATCGTCATTAAAAACGGCCTTTTGAGCATGCGTCAAGGCATTGCGTTCTCATGATGTGATGCTACGATGACATCACATCATGACCATATATAGGCACATCATGACCATATATAGGCACATCATGAAAATATATAGGCACATCATGACCATATATAGGCACATCATGACCATATATAGGCACATCATGACCATATATAGGCATACAATAGTGTTTTTGTCATAGTAAATGTGATAGTGTGGACAGAGTATTATGGTTGTATTTCCTTATTATTTATTCATTGTGTTTTCACACACAAGAGACTTACCATTGCCATCATTCTTGCTTAACTGTTTTATAGTCTTCGCTGTATCATTCTAATTTTACAAGACAAAACAATTGTAACATTCATATTGGTTGGAAACATAAGAGCTTTTCATCTATTATTACGGAAATGTAACATTTTTATTTATTATTACAATAAGAATAATCATGATTAATATCATCCTAATAATATCATCAGAATTATTAGCATCATTATATAACTATTATACTATTAATATTCCATCAAACAAGAGGAACTGCCTAACGTTTCATTAAACAGAACTTGCAGATTACATTATTGAACCTGGCAATAAATATTTAGTGTTGTTATCGAATTAACTACTTAAATTAGGAAGAAATTGAATGGCAAACCTTCTTCAAAATATCAACGGTGACTGGTAAATGCTTGAGTACCTTCATGATTTCTATGACAACTATGTTGTGTTCATTCTCCAATCCCTCATGAAGCCAATGGTTGATCATCTCCCATCCACCACACTCAACAAACCTAAAAAAGAAAAAAATGAATTGTATGAATAATAAAAAGAACTAAAATTGTAGAGGGTACTCAGCATGATTAAGGCGGTCACACACTGCATTGTATGACGCTAGCTGCGAGCACCCAACGGCTGATGATTGTTAGTGACAGTCTGTGCAGATTGTAATTAAAGCTATCACCAGCGCACCTTATCGCATTGCATTCTCCATGAAATGAATTGGCTGCTGACCTGCCGATTGCATTAGAAGCTGTTTACCATAAAGAATGCTGATAAGTTTGACAATGACATTGACAATTGACATTGACAACCAGATTCATTTCATGATTTCTGGAAATTAAATGATGAGGGAAGCTATATTTGAAATTCTTATTTCTTGGTAAGAGAATATCCAATGGGAACAAAATATTGAAATCTACCATGAAGGTATCAAATAAGACAAGATTTAAATGGCAGATCAAGTCCTATGTGTCCCTAATTTTAAAGTGAATGTTAATATCTGTCTGCTGCCCTCTAAAGTTGCAGTTTGACTTACTTCATCAAAACCTCTTTTGGATGAGTAGCCCTAATGATGTTCATGTAAATACACTTTGAAACAAGTTTCCGTGAACTTTTCATAAAACTGAAAGAAAAAAAATAGTATGTACAGTAGTTTAAAAATAATCTAATTTATCAATAAAATATGTAGGGAAATAAGAAAAAATAATCAGTGGCATTCCGTTAGGGTTGTGGATTTGTATTTGTACAGCAAGAATTTGTAAAGTTCTCCACACATATCAAGTAGTTATGTGAAAAAAAACCCCTGTGAATTGCCCATATATGGGTGTGTATGATGTCATTGTGCCCATATATGAACAAATCAGATAATGTATGTGCCATAAGAAAACTTGAAAGTGTCGCCAGAGTTCAAGGCGTTGAATTTTCAATTAAAACTTAAAAATGCAAGACTGACATGTAATTACTGTTTTCTGAATATTTAAAACCTGGGTGAAAAAGGTAATGCCCTTTTCCCCCAGTTTTTAAATATTCAAAAATCTGTGTCCCATTAACCGCTACCAAGTTATTTGCCAAACACCCTTCTTGTGTCTTTTTTAAAATACAGTACTGAATAAAATTCTGTGTTTACCTTAATATTTTTTCTACATGATCTTCATCTTTTATCTCTCCTTTTGGTGTCAATAATGAGCTCAACGCATTCAGGAGCTGGCGGGGATCAACTGCTGTTGAAGAAGCCTGCAGTAACAAAGTAATATTTCAAAAATTACAATTCCTATTTTGTTTTAAAGTTATCATCAATCATCAACATTGCATCACAAAATGTGGAATCAACATGTAAACCTTTTTTTAACACCCAATTGTGAGGAAGAGACCATGATCATTTGTGGCGAAGACAAGCTAAACCAGTCACTCCACGCAAATTGTGTTCCAGAGATAATGGCCAAAACATAGGAAAATTTTCAAAATCTATTTTACTGCACTATACTATCTCTACATCATGCAATGTTGTTATTTTACTCATTTTGGACATTGAAACATTTTAGAAAGATTTGGTGATGGTCTCTGCCAGAAAAGTTCCCAAAAATGTTAAGGCTGATTTCTCAGATAATGTTCTTTAAACAGCTGTATGTTTAAACTCATGTAACGTCATAACAAAATGTTGGATTTAAATGATTCTTTTACAATTTTATAAATTTCATTTTGCTGTTTAATCCTGTATTAATACCTAAAAAATAGATTCTTTTCTTTGTGTCCATTTGTTTTTGTCCTCTACTACTCAGTACTATGCATTTTTTCTCTGCACCGAAAATTTACATGGTTACCTAATAGAATTGGGAAGTTGTATACGTACAGATCTTTAATGGGATACCCCGCCTCCCACCCGGAGTGAAGAAGTTTGCACATTGTGTATATTTTCTTGTGAATTCAGTGACGAGTTAATTAACCGTTAATTAATGCTTCTTGTATTAGGAAAAATATACAAAATATAATCAATCACAAAAAATAAAGAGATTGTTGCATATCAGACCCTTCCCATTTCACACCCAGCCAAGCCCCTTTACCCAATTCAGTTATAAAATTTGCTTTGGCTGAAGGTAAAAAAAAAAAAAAACTATATATACAATTATACTAATGTAAATAACTATCATTATTTATTAAAATCTCTACTTCATATTATTCATGCTGTTTAACAAAATTGAAAATGGCCACAAGTTCTTGTTGTAATTGGGAGAGCAGGCATACAGTAGTGTGACAATGTTCTTCATTGTATACCAGAACACCACATAATCCTGTTGTCACCAGTCAGTTTCCCTTTAGATTCTTATCAAGTTCCTATTGTTGTGCAAATGAATTATTTTCCACTTTACAGGTTTTGTGTTTGATATTATTATTAACCACTTATAGCCACCTCACACAGAGTGCTTGTGTACAGTAGTTAGTATTGAAGTAGCCTGCCTTCTTAACATGTACAATTGTAGTGATAAGATGGTAGTGTACATAATATTGCATTCTGATATGCAGTGAACTCAGAATGTCTTGTCAGCTAATGCAAACCTATTGACTGGGGTAGGTACGGATGGGGTTAAAGTACTAAACATTAGAACAGTAAAACAGCAATGTCAATTATAGTGTTGAGTATTGTAGACTGACTGGTATGAAATAAACTATCAAATATTAAAACTGTAGTTTTATGTCTCAAGGCTTCTCAGTATTTATTTATATTGTTAAAACTACTTTTACTTTATTTTTGTATTATATTTAGGTGTATATCTCATAGTAATACAGTCATTTTTTTAACTGCATTATCCATGTGCTATTTACTGTATTAAATGTTGTTGGTAAATAGCGATTTCACATTTTGTATTTCAATTTCTAATACATTTTAATTATTTTTAATATTTGAATTAATTTTATATAATATAGTGCCATTTTGTTACAATTAAATCTAGTGCAACTTATAAAAATAGTGATTTTGCAAGTCTTGTTCACTGGATCACTAATATTAAAATGCCTATTTTTTTAATAATAATTTTTATGTGGTACCAAAAGATTATATGTTTAGGTGGCGCTATATCATTAAGCAGTGAGCTTGCTTGACAAGGAAGCTCCGAGGAGCTGAGAATTAAATCTGAAAATCATTTGACAGCTAATTGAAGTACGAATGGAAACATGAAACTGAAAGAGCTCCCAATGTATTGTTAGAATTAGTGTCTGTTAGTGTTACTATAGTTACAGACATAAACAAGCTCAATGGTGGCTCAACGATATGCATTCAGGGAGGAAAAAAGCTGTAACTGGGGTCTGACAATTTCCATCAGGGTCCACTGGTGAAGGCCTGCAGTAGTTTGGGGCAGCGTTGATGCCAGCGGTGATAATTTTCCTATCAAATTAATGTTATTTTGATTGCCAATCACTAATATTGTGGTCTAAAAGAACAATTTTGGGGCACACTAATCATAAAAACTCTCCGCCTAAACCCTATCAGGGATTTTTAGTAAAGAACCCTAACCGATGCTCTAGTCGGCCCCTTGGTTCGGACTCCCGGATGGACATGTTAATCCTTTTCTCGGCAAATTTCTGGAACCACCACTGGTTTGGGAAACTGAGCAATTTTAAGCTTTTCCAGATATTTTAGCATGTATTATTCCAAAATAATATTAAAATATGGAATTTTTCCATTTCTGTTTCAAACGTTGCCAACAGGTGGTTTACTCCTCCACCACTGGTGCCGCTACAGAACAAAAGCCCCAGGATATTTTACAGGACAAGCACATTATAAAATATTTGCTGAAAATATGTTAACGGAGTGAGCTCTACTATCACATGTGCCAACAAATACTAGGCCTATAAACATTATCTATTTGTATTGTAATTATATTATTGTTCTGCACTTGGTTTCATTTAATGATCTATAATAGGTTTTGGTTTTGATATATGGCTGCTTCTAGGTTTTGTATTAACATTTTCAAGAGATCACCAAACATGCGCTAGGAAGAGTCAACTGTGTATATATACCAAAAATAAAAGGATAATCTCAAAATGATATAAATCATTTTATTACTGTATGTATGCTTTTGGGAGAGGGAGTCATAAGCCTAGGCTGGAGAGTGGGGTGGGGGGTGGGAATAATGGTGGTTTTTAACACTAATAGTGTTAAAAACAATAAAAATGACCAATTAAGTTTTCATTGGAAGTGCATGTAGTTCCACATTCTTACACCCCCCTCCCCATGCCAAAACCAACCTACTCCCCTGTGAAAGGCGACACAAATTGTATGTTCTATACTCTATTGCAAATAATGAAAAAAAAATTATAGAAAAAGATATTACCACTGGATTAAATCAATATCTGTCCCTCTCCCAGTCTAAGACAGACTAAGTGTACATTAAAAAAAATATGTTGACTTTGCGGCACGATTAATCTATGGTTTTTTTTTTAATATTTGAGTCTGAATAGTCAAAACTACTTAAGCATTAAATCTTTTTTTTAATGTCAGTGAATAATGTATAGATCTACAAACCAGATGAATATTTTCAGCTATGTCAGTGAGTTACATCTATATTGTAGCAGTGACATTAAAAAAGGGTGCTGGAGGCCCTATTGAAACACTTTGTATTTGTATTCTATTTTTGTTCTTATTTCAATACATGGCATTGGTATGAATTCAAATTTTGAACAATAAAGTGGCACAACTAGGGGCTCATTGGATCCGCCCATGCTAACCCACCCAAAGCCTTCTGTCTGTACTCGTGAAAATGATGATAATCCCTGTGATTAGTCCCTAACAGTTTTTCTTTTAATTTATATCCTATATTTTAAGAAGTATATTTTTAGCCACTTTGTCAGTCTCAAACGAGAAATGCAGACATTTTCGTTAAAGATGTACTGTCCCTTGAAAATGACCAAAATCATAAAAAATATTTTTTAAATTAACTTGCTCATTTTGCAGTAACATACAAATTATTAACTTATTAAATTAAAAAAATGTGCTCCCTGATTTTTTAATTGGATAATTATAATAAAGATAATAAAACACTTCCAGTGACTGGAAGTGTTTCTATCATTTTTCCGCTGTAAAATGATGGTTTTTATGGGTAAGCATTTTTTAAATATACTAATTTCTATGTTTAAGTTGATAATTTTTACTTAAAAATGGGCAAGCAAATTTCAAAAATGTTTTTTTCTGTTTTTTGTAAGGGACAGTACATCGTTAAGGCTCACGTCCACATTATTGTCAAGATACTGTCTGTTCAATTTGCATGCCTGTTATTGCACTGATGTTATTGTGCACACCTACTCCAGGTTATTTATCTAAATCTTGGCAGCTGTCAATAACTTAACCCTAATCTAAAATTAAATTGGTAATTCAATATCAATTAACAATTTTAACGATATTGTCAATCTATTTTTGTATCTTATATCATCATTATATTATAAATCATTTGTACCTTTAAAAAAAATAAGCCTATTGTTACAGTACAAAATATTACTTTCTGTATATAATACAAAAAAAAAACAGGAAAAAAAAAAAAAAAAACAAAAAAAAAAGAAAAAAAAACATTGGACAAGGGCAAAGAAATTAAATAAAAACAAAAAATTAAACAAATAAAACAATAAAAATGAAACTGTAATTCTGATAAAATTATATTAATAAGCAAATAAAAAACTAGGGTCCCAAGGAAAGAAACAAGGTACAGTATATTAAATAATGCTGGTCTGGCAAATTATGATGCACGCCACGATTTGTCAAATAAAATGGCGATTAATAACAAACTATGGGACGTTGACCTTATGACCTTGACAAAGCACCTGGCTCGCATTGTTTGGTATATTAAATTTCATTACAAAGCATTCATTAACTGTGAATAATTAATGATCTAATAAAGATAATAATTAGCTAATCAATTTTATTGTTTAGATCAGAAACAAAATTTAGTACTGTATTTTTAATTGTTCTGTTTTGTTCAAATGTTTATTGATAAATGAATTCAATTAATAAAAATATTAACTAACATTTGGATAATTCTGATCATATGAAAAAGAATTAGATCAAATTATTATTGAGGTATTGACACTTGCATGTAAAATTTAGTTTTTATACTATAATTTAACTTTTTTTTCTATCTAAGTTAGTTCTCAGAATATTAGAATTGGAACTCATGGCTTTGCAACTGTATAATAAAAACAGATCAATTGATTTGATTTAAAGTGCTATATCAGTTAATAAATTGGCAGCTATAGTATTTCAGATTACATACTAAACATTAGCACAACTTAATCCAACTAATTTGTATATTTCCAATCAACATACTGTACTATGTTATCCTACTCATTTGCATATTGTCAATTATGATGTAATATTTATCCTACTCATTTGCATATTATAAAATCATCATTTTCATCCTACTCATTCGCATATCATACCCAAATGACTTTATCCTACTCATTTGCATAATAGTCATTTAGGGCAAGTGACACAAACCCAAATGGATTTGTGAACAGCAAAGACAGTATACAGTAAATCAAATCCACAAAAATATGATTAACATATTCTAATACAAATCAATAATAACCAAATTAGTAAGCCAATTAGAATAGAATTATATAAGGAATAACTTGAAACCAATTATGCCATACAGCAGTTTACAATTTTTCTTTCAAGCTGTTTTTCATAGCATTACAAAATGGAAAAATAATTTAATGGAATTTTGAGCTAAGTTTTGGAGCTCTTGTGGAATCCATCAGTACAATGTCTTTATACTGTAGCTAGAATTGACCAGAATAATGGTCTTAATAGCTTATATATACACGGTCACCTGGTTCATTAATGACCATTATCCTACTCATGAAAACATGTGGCCATTGACACTAGGTGACCGGTTCATGGTTTTGCATCATCATAGAGGGTGCACTACTCATACACGAGTGACATCATCAGTAATGTGTATAACATGCACAAATGACATCATCATACTGTATTGAGTACTGTACATGACATCATCATTTTATGACTGTTCATTCGTGATTCACATCATCATAGTGTAATACTTGAGCTTGAACATGTGGCAGGAGTTTAAAGTTCAAATCATGATGGGAAATGGACCAGGTTGTATTTTTAAATTTCATTCCTTATACAGTAATTATTCATATTAAAATTCAAATAAAAACATGTCTCTAGTACTGTAAGAAGCAAGTTAAATGAGACCTATGCCTTAATGTTACTGTATACTGAATATCAATTCTTTCAGAGGTTATGCCTTGGTCGATAAAGTATACTGTACCTGATGAACAGACATTTTTTTGGACATTGAATTTAAAATATCTTCACAGTAAACAAAACATTACGGTTCAATAAAATTATACACATGAAATATTATACCACCCTACCAACTTAAGTGGTTCCCCCAGGAACTACCTGACAAAACGGCTGATGTCCCTGAGAGGGGACATTGGGAACATAAGTGGGCAGTGTCAGATACCACCCGCAAATACTCTGATTGGGTCCAGGACCTAGAAGCTTTTATAATTTAAAGTTTTGAAAAGCTTATATATTTTAATTTTATATTACAATCTGTAAAAAAATCACATAGAATTTTTGTTATATTCAATGGAGGCCGAGCTCTTGCCAAAGGGGAATCTGGTTTTCGGCCGCCCTACTGACGACACCCCTGCACCAGTGGTGACGCCAGTGGGGGGTGGGCAGAGGGGAGCATTTGCAATTCCGTCGGACAGGTCTGGACCCCTGTCGTCCGACACACGACTAGGTCGTCGGATCAAAATTTAAAAAGAATAATTTGCCATCCAAATAACGTTATTTTGACTGCCAATCCCTAATGTTGTGGTTTAAAATCACTTTTTGGACCATACTAAGCCATAAAAACTCTCCCATTGAACCCTAAAAGGGAGTTTATATTCTGGGGAGTCGACCAAGGCTTCATCTTCCCCTTGGCTTGGACCCCTCCGTCGGACGTGTTGGACTCTTTGTCGTCAAATTTTTGGCAACACCGGTCCCCTGCACACCCTACTTAAAGAACCCTCCCTACACATCCACTCTGATCATGTACACAATCATATAAACATGCTTAGCCACCCCCATGATAAAACCATTCTTGATTTGCATGGCTTAGTGTGGCTGCTCCTCAAAGGGGAAGGGAAATTAGGACATCCGAGTTTATGGGGGAAAGTGAAAATTTACCATTGAATTATTTTGATTGTAACTACTGTAGTTGGGTTCAAAAACTTTTTTCAAGATAAAAGCTTTTTGAGTTGCTGGGATCCTGGCTGGACTGGTCAATTCTGTATATTTTGGCCCAATTTCCTGAAAGAAAAAATAATATGAAGTTAATCAACTATCAACTTAAAGAGACACAGTAATAGAAAATCAATATTTTTTCAAAATATACCCTATTCAGGCTAGCATCCCATTGCGATTGGCTGAAGCAAATTGCGACACCCAATTGCAATTCATAACCACGTACGAAAGCTCACCAATAGTAGTCATAAGTAATCAATATCATAATTGTTATCAAAAATCACAATGAATTCCACAGGCACTGATTGGCTGAGGTCAGTCAACATAGGCTGCCTAGCCACCATAGGGCCTAGTACGGTTTGACCTTCCATTTTTGTGTCCGATTTGGTCTAAATGTGCTCGTTGATTGCGATCGAAGTAATCAGTTTTTGATTACCAACGATTACAACAGAGTGTAGTCTGAATAGGGTATTAGGTACTGTAGCATAATAGTAGTAGGCAGTATACAACCCATTTTATTATTATTTATATCATTTAGCACCTATTCTTTGTAGATACAAAGTACTCCTTTTTTCCTGGTTATTGGGTCCACATGCTTAAATGTTGCTGCTGGTAATCAGCGCAGAAGCAGGCAACCCCACCAGGTTCCCATTTATACTCCTGGGTAGAGAGAAGCAATGTACTGTAGATAAAGTGCCTTGCTCAGGGACACAAGCGAAATGTACAGCTAGGGATTGAAACCCCGACCTTGTTGTGTAGGTATACGGTGAAGTACTAGAAGGTGTAGCCACACTATTTATGCCACGCAAAAAAATTTCACCCATCTCTCCCACCACAAAAAAAGAAAAATTGTATTCTGTTTAAAATTTTGGGCACAATACATTCTTTAACAAGGGCATAGAAATGGGTCAGATTTAATTCCAAGGGCAGCACCCAAACATGGATATTTCCAGAAAAAAAAACACCTTCAGGCCAAAAAACAAGTTTTCTACCTAAAGATTTTAGACAGGCACATACATACTGTAGTGTTGTCGAGGGCCACAATAAAATTTCAGATCGCACTTTGTCCATCTGCATTCTCAGAACTTGAAAATTTTTTTTTTTTTTTTTTTTTTGCTTCCTGACCCTGTTGACTTCTGTCTAGGCTATAACTGACAGCTAAAAACAGCAAATGCCCTACAATAACCCCCAAATAATTCTTTATCTTTTCATCATTAATCTATAATTTGGTCATGTTTTGTAGAACCTCTCAGCTACAAGTACTGTTGATGAAATTTTAATGGAATTTCTTTTTTATAAACCATCAATTATTGTACAAGTTTCGTAGTGTATTGATGAAGTGTGGACACTTTAACGATATTTTTATGATGGTTTATAAATTGAATGTCAGTACTGCAGTCGTCCTTCACCACTCCACCAGATATCCCCCTGCTCAACACCAATATGGCTGTTGATAGCGATAATAGTCCTATGTCTGTTCCCAGGAAACATATGATTTAAATGTTGGTAACATTTTGATTGTGACTACAGAAAATGAATATAAAAAATGTCTAAATTTCTATCTATAAAGTTCACAGAATATTGAAAAAATTATTGAAAAAAAAAATTGTACTGCCCAATCTAAAATAATGAAAATTTTGAGAAAATATTCAGGTAAACTTAAGAATTAGAAATAAATATTAGTTAATAAATTGATTAAGTATTACCTTTTTGAGATAAAAAAAAGAATTATAAAGTAGTTCGTCTATAAAGTACTGAGATTTGTCATTTCTTTTCTTGTTCAATAAAACATCTTTTATTAATGATACTTAATTACCTTATATTTCAAATTTGAAATTAAATATATTGGGTTGACCACTGGGACATGTTGCAGCCAGAGTGTAGAGCCAGTACAGATGAAAGAATACTGTACATTTACATTGTCTTTTATCCATCCTAAATTTTAGGGTTATTCGATGAGCGAAGTAGTCAGACTCGCACTGAACACCGACGCTAGCCTGTTTGAACCAGGTGTTTCAGCGCAAGAGCCAAGAATATCACCTCTCTCTGCCAAACTTAGTTCAAATAATACTTTTTAGAAAACCCAGACTGACTGCCCTAAGCCAGTGTGTACTATTACAGGCTCTGTATTATTGTACAGTACTGTATTGTTTTTATTAGAATAGAGCACTTTTAATACAGTGAGTTATCACTATCACAGTTAATTATATTTGCATATTGCCTTTAATGTTTCTCTGGATACTGCAGGAACAAATATAATAACATTATTTCAACATTTTATTAAGGTTTGCGGTATTTGTTTTCAAAGGGCACATCACCACAACACACCACATTACATCCAACCCTCCGGTGGAGGACAGAATATGGTGGATACATGGACATGTATACTATTACTGTACTAGTGTTGTTATTTATTAATGACTTATAAACGATTTCCCAACCAGCAAAGACAAAACAATACACAGCAGCATCTGTGTGGCTACTTTGTCAGAAAGTAATGTCCAAACCAAATTTTATGTGACATGGTCATGATGTGATGATGTCAAATATAGGCACATCATGGCTATATATGGGCACACCATGGCTATATATGGGCACACCATGGCTATATATGGGCACATCATGGCTATATATGGGCACACCATGGCTATATATGGGCACACCATGGCTATATATGGGCACATCATGGCTATATATGGGCATCAATTTTGTGTCAATAAAAATTTGGTAGTGTCAACAGAGCTGTGGTAAAAAATTATGTAATACTGTAGTATAAATCTATGGTTCTACAACACACCAACCTTTAACGTTATTATAACATCAACGTTTCCAATGTTAATACTACAGCAATTTATAGAAATTCATATTGATTAAAATAGTGTTCCTTTAACAATAAATAAACAAAGTTTGCTAAAGTTGCTGGTTGTATTAATATTCCAGGCAAGTGCAGCACAATAGCATAGACTACCAGTATTTTTATCACACTTTTTTTTAATGAATGTGGAAGAAACTTATGAAATTTATTTCTCAATCTTATTGACAAGCACGTCTAAACAAGGAGAAAGCAGGTCACATAATAAAGTACTGAAGAGACTATTATTTATTGTTTTATGACAATTTTTTTTTTTTCTTTCGGCTTTACTAAAGTTCAATGCCTTAATACACTTCTAATTAGAAAAGTAGGTTATTTGAGACTACTGAAATGTGATCTCTAATTGGAGAGAGACCTTTACTGTTTCAGTGACATGATTGTGTATCATTAAATCAACCTGGAATAATGAAAGGAATTTTCAGACTATTTGATTCCCCTATAAAGTAATGGTAAAATCCGTAATAATTCTAGTAACTTGGAGGGTTGATCAACAGGAAGCACACACCGAGTATTTAGAATTGATACAGTATTCTGATTGGTTGCTGCTAATGCATATGGTAATTATTTTTAACTGCGTCATTGTCGCAATCTTGATGATGCCAACGTAGCGGCGTTGTATTAAAAATAGCCTACGCCCTTGGAAATCGAGCAAAAAGCAATTTTCCTGTATGTACTTTATGAGAGCAAAGCAAATAATAGGAACTTCACTTAACGATAAGCAAGAAGATACTTGGTGCTCTAATAATTTAAGTAATGAATTTATGATTTCTTCTGTTGAAGATATTTTATTTTAATAAAATTAATACTAGACAGACTTTGCATAGACTACTACATACAGACAGAACTTTTTGTTTGTACCGATCGACTGGCCGTCATCATCTATAATTACTGGCATAGGAATTTTAAATTTATCCAGCATTTCAGAATATTAAAATTTCCAATATCAATCATCATCATCATGCCACACACAGCCATACTGTACCTACCGTAGTCAATCATACCTGCAAATTTAACTAACAAAATTAAATTTTTTACTTTATCTTCATGCATCACATTCATTGATTTGCGATCAAATTTCAGACGAACGTATACTGTTCACAGGAATCGTGGTTGTTACAACATGCTTTATTTATAAAAATAAAAATTCACCTGAATGAATGGTTCTAAGTTATTGTCAAAACAATCATTATGAAACTGAGAAAAAAACGCCAGAGAACACGAGAGAATATACTGGAAAAAATAATTGAACGATGGAAAAAAAAACTCCATCCATTTATTGAATTATTGTTGTGTGGAAGAGCCCAGCGTTAATTCTTTAGACTGAGCGCACTCGAGTGTCGTATCATTTGACCACACACACAACTGATCGAGGCTGAATATCTCTCCGTGTTTCTGTTACAACTTACATTTCATAGAGCGAAATATCCTTTTCACCGCTGTATCTTCTCCACACTTCTGTGTACCAACATGGTAACAACCAATGTCTTATAATTTATACAATATCTTGTAATATATCGACTAATAAAGATACAATGCCTTTTATGTATAGCCACCCTTATATGTACAGGCAGACTTTATAGAAGGCCATTGCATCGGCTTGGGTTGATCGACACGACCAGGCAAAGCTTGAACGAATGCTTGTTAATTTCTCCAGATATACCACAAAATCAGATTGTAGTAAGAATTTAGAACACGCCAACTGCTAATTTAATATATAAAGTAAGTTAATATGTAAAATTTTGTTTTAAAATTCCAAATCTAACAAAAAATTGAAAGGTTTTTCAAGCTAATTCCACCTCGGCTCAGAGAATCCAAGAAAATGCGAGCGCGACAGGAAACGATCACGTGAGACATTAAAGTTTTACTCCCTAGGTTGGTAAAATAATGCGGTCGATTCCATTATTGTAATGACACAAACACCGGCATTCGTGATCGTAACAATACAAATCTTCATAGGCATGTACTGTACAGTACCGTACATAATAAAATAAAAGTTATTGTATTATTATTTATGTATTAGTATGATTTGTTGTAATCCATGGTGGCATTACACCATACAAACACAATACGTACAATAATCACAAGGTTTCAAAACCTATCAGTTTCTTCACACTGACGTAGCATGTCCGTGTACGTACCAAGTCTATTTGATCACCATCACAATATTTCCATAGCATTTATGATGTAGATTTTTCATACGTCTATAGATCTTCCATTGGATTTCCACAAGAGTGTCCAGAATTTTCATATTTTTTTTTTATTTTCCATATCTAAAAACAAATTAAATGTTTGGCCTTGTTATAATTTTGCACAAAATAAAAAAAAGTTCAGTTAAATTAGGAACTTAGCGATGCAAATGTGAACCTGAGTCAACTTATCCTAAAATAAATGAAACAAAAAAATACTTGTTTTGTTATCAAGATACAGTGATTAAACAAAAGGCTAATAAATTCACTAGCCGGTCGCATCAGATTCAATGAGCCGAGCCCACCATCCCCGCCCCTTGTGCTTAAAAAGTTAAAATATTGTAACGGTGAATCATATCCCATGAAGTCAAATACAGTAGAACCCCTTTGAGACACCCGTGGGGGCTTAAATGGTCAATTATGAGTCCCTATTAGACCCCTTAAGGGGTTATTTAATGTATTTTGTTCCTATATCACAGCAAGTAGGCCTACCATTAATTCGAAAAATTCATAATAATGTTTCATTTAAGTTTTCCTTTTGAAATGTTTTTAGCCCTAAACCTAATCCAACCTCCTCGGCAGTGATTTCTAAGTTCGCACTCAATATAAGGATCAATATTGTGAAAAGTAGGCCTATTTGATCATAATTCATAGCTTTCGAATAATATACAAGCATTGATTTTTGTTGTTTTAAACATTATCACTGTAGATTTATTCCTAAGATATAACTTACACTTCATCTTCAAATCGCTTACTTCACAATGGATTAAAATCATGGTAAAAAAAAACAAACTTGGCCTCACCAAACCAAACACATGTCTCGTTTTTTAAAGTAAAAGGATAGGCGATTATTTACAAAATTGCTCACCTCAGCCGCAGCCATGGTGAGGCTAAAGTAGTTAGAGTGGGGAAACAAATTAAAGATATATTGTCCCTTGAAAATAACTTCGAATTAATAAATTTAGGATAGGAATGTTTGAAAATGTGAACCCTGCGTTTTATACTGGATAATAATAAAAATAATAATGAAACACTTCCAGCTGTACTGTAACTGGAAGTGTTAATCATTGTTTTCATGTAAAATTATAGGACAACATTTCTTAAATACACTAATTTCTATGTTTAAATTGATAATTTGTATGTTACTTCAAAATGAGCAACTTTTTATTTCAATTGTTTTTATGATATATTTTGGTATATTGCATGTGACAGAAATTTTTGGTTTATTTATTTCTCTTCTCTGATTGGCTAAATATAGTGGGTCAAAACCAAGATGGCTGCTGTCGGGACTGGAAGCCATAAACTTGACTGTAAAGATCTACACGGGTATTTGCGATCATTGTCGCCAGCAATTTTGGACAGATTGTATGATAATCCTGCAACATGTTTAGCCGTTTTCAGGTAAATTATGTGAATGTGATTTATTCAAGGTACATGATTTATTCATGCTTCTTTAGCTAAACTACCGGCTAGGCTAGGCCAAGGACAAGGTTTGTTATTGTTGCACACATGTGAGAACACTGAATGTTGTGGAGGAATCCTCGTCGTGGAGAATAAGCAGTCTTCGTTGGTAGTAGTAGTAGTAGCATCTATTCGCTGCTCAACGCATTATTGACATTCATGGCTCTAATAAGGCCTGCTAAACCATAGTTTGTTATGATACTACAAATCTACAAAGATTATCTATGTTTAACCATAACTATTTAACTGAAAAATGATTGAATAATAATAATATTAATAAAGAATTCGAGTCCGTCAACTCTGCTCCTCCCCACAAACAAGTCAACTTGCAACTTCCATAAATAACTTATTATTTTAATATTAATATTATAGCAATATAAAAAGGTATAATATAACTAATGATAATATTAATAATGACAATACTTAATGAATTATAGACAAATTAAATATACATTACATATATGTGTATATATTTAAATATATAATATATATATATATACAGTGGCGTATCTGTCTCTTATACACATCTAGATGTGTATAAGAGACAGTCTTAGGCCTATGTACATAAATCATGATATATTAATAGATAAAATCGAAACCGACTTTCTTTATGTATAAGAAATAATAAAAAATGAATACCATGAATGGTCTTTAGAAGTACTTTATTGGAGAACCTATCCTTAGATATATTAATTTTTTTTTTTTAAGTTGTTAAATGTAATTCAAACCAGTCATGCTTAGCTGGTTTCTGATTTACGTTTTGGAACAGAATTTGGAGAGGACTTTAGATCAAGTCAGAACTTCATTTTGGAAAAATAGTTCTACATTTTTAGAAATTTACGCCAACGTTTTGGTAAATTAGACATGCATTTTGTAATTACATTTTGAATTTAACATGTGCTTGAAGAATGCATTACGCTCTACCTATAATTTGGTGGTGTAGTGTGACGTCATCTTTGGTAAGCGTTCTGCCGTGGGATCAAAACTGAGGGGTAAATTAACCCTAACCATGTACTTTCGGGAACGGTACAGTAAGTGGGTCTATTTCTTAACTTTCATTTCTTTCTAATTTGAATAAATGGACCCCATGTGCTCTACTGCCCCATGGTCACATAGTGTTTCATTTTCTAATTGCCTATTTTTTCTATCAACTTAGGGAGCTGCATCCTTTATCCAAACACTATGTAATGCGAGTAATATTTGTCGATCAACCAATCTCAAAATCAGCAATATCATCATGGGTGTCCAGTCCACATCAAGAGTAAGTGAACTAACTTGCATCTAATAACTGACATGTCCATCCTATTTGGTAATGTTGTGTGGTAAAACATCGGTATAACAATTGAGCTCCTTACACAGGCATGGTCAGAGGGCTTTTGCATCCTAACACAATGGCTGAGCAGTTAAAGCAGAGGCGCTGCAACATACAGCCATAATATCGGCTCTAGTTCAAACGACACGCTCGCCTATGGTTCTGGAGGTGGAATAAATCTCCTCAAATAAGAACTATAAACTGTAGGCCCAGTCTACACAATTGGCTCATGTGCACTATAAAGCCCAGTACATCTTTTGAGATGAATAGGGGGTTACCACGAAGAGACCATTATGGAGAAGGTAGTTACTGCACACTTAAAGCGCTCTGATCTTCATTAAATAGTGCTATATAAATGATGTTATGTATGTAATGAACCAGAGTGCAGACTTAATAAACCCTTTCTCTTCCAAAATATGCACTTGATTTTTTGTCATGCACACTAATATGGACACTATGCCTTTGATAAATTGAGTCTTTTCTCTTGTTACTGTATCCAGCTGTACATTACATATTGTATATTTGCATTTATGCACATGGTTCACATGTTTATTCTGCTTTTAAATATTTGTACATTAACAACATGTTGTATTTCATTGTCAACTGTTCTTTTAGGGATCATAATCAAGCGTCGCGTGTATTAAGCGATCTTCGAATATGGCATGATCGCACATTACCAGGTGGTCTAGCAGGCTGGATACTGAACCCCATCTTTAGGAACAACCTCAAGACTGCATTACTAGGGGGGTAAGAGACAGACACTTACTATAATATATACTATGAATTCCATTAATAATGATGTTTCATTTGTGGAATAGGATGGTCTATTATTTCATGTTTAATTTAAATTTTGATGTTTAAGAGCAGATATGTTAGTATGTTCCATGTTCTTTTTGAATGGTGGATGGATTTTATACTCACTTTTCAAAAGTGAAAATATCCACATAATCTTACTAATTAATTTTTCACTGTTCTGTACACATCACATACTATAATGTAAACTCTTGCTTTTCATTTTATAAAGTGGGAAATCCTGGTCGAGTACAGAGCAGCTGGGCTCAGATAAACATGCAAAGGATATACAATTTTTAGACAGCTATGCAAAGGAAAGGTGGGAGGTAAGTGGATTGGATTTATTCGTTGTAAACACCAAGGATAGCCCACAGAAGTCTAGAAGAAGACTCATTTCCAGTGGGGTCCTTCTGGTGGTGATAGGGCAGTACACAGGGAGACAATCCCCTACTCTTTTCCGAAGAGTGTACTGTGTTCTTTAACTTGCAAATAGGCCATAAATGCACACGAGACCAACAGCTTAAACGTCTAATCCGAAAATACGGGGCACTATTGTAACTTGTATTTCAGCCCTCCAGCTAAAACACAAGGAGAGGCAGCGATGGGAATTGAACCGGGGACCTAAAGATCTCCATGGTTTAGCGCACACACAGTGGCTACCACCAGATTAGTGTGTTATTCAATAGTTGGTGAAGGCCAAGAATATGTGTGTGCATCTTCCGCAACCCACAAAGCTATCTGTACACTCATTTGTGTTATATCTATGAATTATGACGTTTTATGGGACCTTATAGAAACAATTTATTATTCAAGAGTCGTTGATTATTATCAATATTAATTTACGTTCATCATTGCTTGTATTGTTATATTACAGTGCATTCTTCATTTTCTTGTGGACTCCAGGGGTGTGGATGGTCTTAGCAAAGACATTGCTACTGTAGTTACCAGCTCCGGCTTAATGAAGATGTAAGGTCATTGCCTTGAATCATCTGTAGTATCATATCAAAGTGTGATTTCATTTTTCATTTCATTTCTTTAGGCACGAGAGCAAAGGATATGCCAATAAGTGAACTTAATCACTGTCCTAAGTGGCATATCCATTAAACAACAGGGGACTTAATGGACCAGTCACTGGGGTAGCCCCCTACTGTTCTCAAAGGATGTACTTAGTTCTTTAAAGTGCACACCAGCCAAATACGTACCCTGGGCATACGGTTTAAAGTCCTTATCCGAGAAGACTTGTTCCACCACCAGAATAATGTTTATCTTTTCCTAATTTTTAATAGCTCAATAACTTTTTGAAACATTTTAAGCAACAGTACACACTGATATTAAAAAGCAACAATATAATGATATTTTACAGCTTTTTTTTGTTTTTTTAATGATTATCATTGCACTTTGAAAATAATAATTTACTTATTCTACTTTCAGGCATGAAAATGAACCACGTCCAGTCATTACGCCTGCTGGATTTCAGTTCCTGTTATTAGATACGCCTTCACAAGTTTGGCATTTCATGTTACAATATTTAGAAACAGCTCAGGTAAAGGAGTTTTATATTAATTAGTGTCTGTGCATATGGGCAGGGGCATACCACCTATGAGCTCTCACTAGCATATGTCAGATGTCCCTGAGGGGCCTGGGCATCCTTTTTATCATTGAACGTGGGCCCCATATCAGTTGAGCGAGCAGGGCCCCTATAAAGAGGAAAGACCTTTACCACCTCTCACTAGCGTAAGTCAGGGGTCCCAGAGGGGCCTGGGATTGTAATCAGCATATTTTTTGCGTGAATGTGGGCCCCATATCAGACATTGAGCTGGGCCCCATAAAGAGGAAAAATCACGTGCCACATACGAGCTCTCATCACTGGCTAAGCAATCGACCCCAGATGTGTCAGAGGCTTGGGACATTAATTTAGCGAGGACCATGTGTGGACAATATGTGTCCCAAAAGTGGTAAATATGCACTGGGCTAAAATCATGTTGTCAGGAGTTATTCATCAACTGTGCTCTAAATTCCCAGTCGATGTTCTTAAACTTATTACACTAGCTTAACTCTCTCCTACTTGGACTACAGCATCCCTTTCTTGGGGTAACGCCACCAATATGGAAAATCTTAATTATTCAAAAATTTATGTACTATGTGACAGTTTTCATGTTTAAACTTAAGAATAACAATGTACCAAGTTATCTCATCTCTTCATAAAAAAACACAGTGAGTCCATAAAATTATAACACAAGACAGGATCATAAACCTTATACAGCATTTGAATCTCTCCGAAATCTATTTTATATTACGGTTCCAAACACAAAATTTATAAATTTCTTTTCATTTAAGTCTTTCTCCAAAGATTATTTTTTTCAGTTTACGTAGAAGATACTTGATTTTGATGACTATATGATAATTGTTCTCTTTAGTTAAAGCAGCTATCGTGAGGATCTTACCCGCTAGGCCAACAAATACATTTACATTCAATTGGCCTCGCCGCCTGGGTTTCCCCATAATCTGCCTTGTTATAATTGTACATATATTTCTTTGTACCTGGTGAAATTATTAAAATAAATATTATGCAAATATCTTGGAGTTGATGGTTTTATTTTTTTGCAGAAAAGAGGTTTAGATGTTGTCACAGCTTTGTCATTTCTATTCCAACTCAGCTTCTCAAAATTAGGAAAGGTTAGTGTAAGAAATGTGTTCGTAATTGTTTAATTATTTTGGTATCAAGAGCAATTCTTTAAAGCAGTTGACGAATGCTTGCTCGTCAAATACATGGCAATTTATTCTCACTTTAAAAAAAAAATGTTTTCATCATAATATATGAGGCCTGATGTCACTGTCAGAATTGACAAGAGGCAGCTACAAAATATTTTAATTAATTTATAAGCCATGAAATACTCGCACTTATGGCTGAAACATCCCGTCAACAGTGCAAGCTGGGGTATCTAAGCCTGGCCGACCTAGAATAGCTAGCTTGTCATTTAAACTCTCGAAAACAGGGTTCAGAACCTGCATGGAGATCGCTGTGCTAAACCACCTTTAGTTTGTATATTGTGATAATTTACAGTTTATATTTCAATTGTTGTTATTTTATTTTTATAATCATACTATTTTTTTTTTCCAGGATTATTCAACAGATAGTATGACTGAACCACAGTTACAATTATTACAACATCTTAGGGAACTAGGCTTAGTGTTCCAGAGGAAGGTATTAATAAAATTCATGATTTTAAGTACTTTTACTCGCAGTGTATAAATGCTCATCGTATGATATAATTGCATTGACTTTGAGTACGTTCTTTATTATTTTAAGAAAGAGGTGTTTTGTAGAATACTTTCAGACCAGCAACCTTTATTAAAAATAAGCTTTCATTCACACAAACTGCAAGAACTAAATCTTTTTATTTTTAATATAGTTTGTTAAGTGCTATCAAATTCAAATTGATATATTTTTTTGATTAATAGTTATAATGGGTTTCACTTTTTACAACAAAGTTGTAGAAAATTAAAGTAAATACTTGCCAAGCTAAGCAGTTCATATGGGCTGGAGCTTATCCCCAGTTTCAAGTAGCGTGAAGTGGATGAGAGCGTGGTGCTCCCCTTTGGTGAGATGCTGGTCCACCGCAGGTTACTCCCTGTAATTAGCTGGTACCCATTGATACCGCTGGGTAGACTGATGCAGATAAAGCGTGTTGCTAACAAGCTAATGCACAGCCATTTCAAACCAAACCATTTCCACTGTGCCAAACTGCCTCCACTGGAAATTAATACAATACAGATCAATTGCAAGAGCTGTCTAATGACTGGCTTCTCTTTGACTGCCTAGGCTAATGGTAACAACTAGCATACCCGTGCTCTGCACGTTGTTAAATGAGTGTGAAAAGTTGACGAGGCATAGGCCTATAGTTAAATGTTCTGGGAAGTTGAAGCAATCATTGAGGCTATCACAGTTACCTTGTCATTATTATTTCTGAAGGACCTCATTGTAGATAATATTTTATGTGAGTGTCTCTCCCAATTAGTTAATGTGAGGAATTGTCCATATTGATAATACATTGGTGTACCCTCTTGCATTTGAAAATGTAACATATACAGTAATAACATGTTAACTCCCACATGTTCGTTGTTTGAATTCAGCGTTGCGGTATTGTCTCTGAATATATATGGCTATGAATGTGTGCACGTGAGACTTATAACATGCATATTAGGTCGGGTGCCTGGCACAATGACGTCACAACAGTTATGAGATTTGGAAGTAATTGGCAAGAAAATGTGTTAATTTTGCCAGAAAAACACATGTTCGATAACAAAATCGAGTCCTAAGGTAGCGGATGTTCGTCCCATTGGTGTGGTAGCTACAACATTTGTGAAAATCATAATTGTACTTGAAATATTTTCGGAGATATTTGGTGTACAGAGAAAAACGCAAAACGTTATTTTAGTAGTGCAGTTTAACTTGCGAAAGTCGACTTTGCCTAACTCGAATAATTTCCAAGTCTAACTTATTTTACATGCCAAATTGTTGTGTTTTCCATTAATTAACAATCTGTAAGTCAAATTTTATCCAAGGCGAACAATTTTGCAATGGCATTTTGGATTCGACTTAGGCAAGTTCAACGTTTGTTCCCCACTAGTTTGTGTTATAAAATAAACAAAATATTTTAAAGACAAAAATAAATGTTTAAAAATAAATAAAAAAATGCGGAAAGGGCTGCCCTCTGCAAGTAGAAATGGTGCCGCGAGCAGTGCTCTGAGGTGGATAAATGCTTATCTAATACTTTTATATTGCTTTACTTAGGCTGTAGCCACACTATCAAACTTCATGTGGGAACTGGCTGTGATTTGCCCATATATGGGCAATTCATACAAATTTGTCACATAAAATTTGATAGTGTTGATTGAGCCTTAGGGTGTAAAGATTTAAGGCTATTTTTTTTTGTAATATTTTCTTTTGCCTTAAATACTGTGGTACTGTACTTTAAATGATGCTTATAGTAGTCAATCATACCTGTACAAATACAATACTTGTTTTCTCAATATAAAGTTTACTACTAGTATTTTTAATTTTTAAGTTCTGTTAATTTACTGTATGTTAATGTTAAAGTTTTTTATACATAAATACTGATAGTTATGTATTTACTAACATTTATCATACATCCTGAAAAATTTATAAATAATGTTTATTTAAATTTTTGTTTTTTAAAGGTCTTTCTAAAATGGGAGTACAGAGTAGTAAACAAGATGGATATATCATTGTTGAGACTAATTACCGGGTTAATGCTTACACCAATTCAGACCTTGAAATAGAAATACTTGGTTTATTCTGTGAAATGTTATATAGGTAAGATATCAACATTCAATGTTTACTTCCTACTAAGCAATTAGAATAGTCACTTATATGAAGGTTAGATTAATGCATGAAAAAAATAATATATTTCCAATTATCACCTGTCAACAAACGATTGGGCGAGTGTTTGTCCTCTCTCTGCTGATGTGCATCATAGTGCTAGGTGTACAAAACACTTGAACATTCAGTACTTTGCAATGCTGCAATACATTGTTTTGATCTTTTTCAAGTTCAAGCAAACTGTGCACTAATGAAAAATTAGTGCATGGTTTGGGATAGGAGAGTAACATTGCGAGTTACAGTGATGATGTCACAATTGACTTATAATTACAACCAAAATTAATGTAGATAAAAACAAATTGTTTTTTATGAATTTAGTGCAGTATTATGCATCAAGCCCAGTGCATTGTCTAGAGCTCCTTTATTACTAGAAGTATGACACCTTGGTTTTAAAGATACGCTCGGCAGCAGATATGTTGAACGCTGGGTTCCTCATCAGCACCCTAGTGTAACGTTATATTTATTCAATGTTAAAACATGGAAACTGTCTGCGAAATCACTAAAATAATTATATTGTACTTATAGTTTGTATTGACTTTTGACCGAATTATCCTTTGCTGTTTTTCAGGTTTCCAAATTTATCTGTTGCACGTCTAACAAGAGTCAGCGTCCAATCAGCAGTAGATCATGGTATAACTGCTGAACAAATTCTACACTACCTACGAACACATGCTCACCCAGACATGCTAAGTAAGGTGAGTGAGTGCAGCATGGACTATTTGCTAGAGAGTAGGATAAGAAGTTTGAACTTCATTTCTTGTCTTTAAAATATGTGCTTTGTCTTTTTTGTGTTTTTTTTTTTTGGAGTATTTATTTTTTAGTATTTGGTGTACAATTTCAAACAGTATAAATTTTTGAGCCATTTAACTGTGAAGACTGGAAAATTGATTTAATCAATACAAAAGATGTTAAAAAGAATTTTTTTAAACAATAACCTATATTTCCTCTCAGCAGTTTTTGACAATTTAATATTAAAATAATTTGTACTTTTACTAAAACAATGCATTTTTCTATACATTTCAATCTTATCTTCTTTTCAACAACTGAGTATTTTACTGTGTTGTGACTTTTTTACAGACACCTGTTATACCGTCCGTTATAAGTGATCAAATTAGGCTGTGGGAGCTTGAACGAGATAGAATTAATTATGCTGATGGTAAGATTCAATGTCGTTTCTATGAAGATCTGCTTTAAATATGTCCCAAGTGGTCCTGTGATGATTTGTTTTTTTAAATTACATACTACAGATTCTTGGGTACAAGCACATATTGTATATAAGCCACCCCTCTCCCACCTAGGTAATTAGAGTATAATTTTGATGAGTTGCTCAGCTGTCGACATTTACAAATATTTTCAGGAAAAGAAAATTTGTTTGCTTTTGTATAGGGGCTTCGGTGCGGATAAGTCCCCTCCCCTCACAAAAAATGGCCCAATTTCTTATTTCATATTCAAGGATGAAGAACTGCATAATTTTATGTTGTTTATTCCTATACAGAAAAATAAGGTTAGCATTTCTACATGCTTCTTCACAAGTTAAAATGTTATAGACCATTGTCGCGAAATTTGAAATGAAAGTTTCCGATAACCTGGCAAGTACCACTGGGGGACTTCCAGAGGTCTACGCACTTCGAGCTACGTAGTTACCAGTGTGTGTGCTTCACTCTATACTGGCTAGCTGGTCAGGATAGGCTTGGCTGTTGGCTGCTGGAAGTGCTCCAGATAGTTGCGAGACGTTGGAGGTGCTGTTTCAGAATAAACCATTAAAATGGTCTATAGCTGGTATACAATTTATTTTAAAAGACGGTTTCATGTTTATTGTGTACAATTGTTCTTTCAGGTGTGCTTTATAACCAGTTCCTGTCTAATAGAGACTTTGAGCTTCTCAGAGACTATGCAAAGGTATTAACTTTGTTTTTTATTTCCTGGTCCAATTTAATAACTCTAGTTTCATAAATCTGTAATTTTAATTATGCAAAATTACTAGTTGTATCAATGAGGTAATTTAAAAAAAATTATAACTTGTATAATATTATACAAATAATGAATGTTTATATGAGCGCAATGGTTGACTATTCCCTTCAAAAAGGCAGAGCCGAGTTAAATGGAACAGTAAATCTTCCAACGAATAAAAATGTTTTTCCCATTCCACGAATCCGAAACATTAATTATTTGTTTTATAACAGCGAACACAGGTAAAATAGATCTTTGTCATAAGATATTTTTAAAAAATGTATTAAGTGGAGCCGTGCATTTTCATATGTGACGAAATGGTGTAAAAAACCATTGTCACATTATAAAAAAGGCACCAATCAAAGGATCTAGATGGTTTATATAATGCATAATAATTATTGTTAATTGTATTTTATTTTCTTTCTATAGGATCTTGGTGTTCTTGTATATGAAAATGCAGTAAAGAGAGTAATAATAGTCACACCTTCAGGTCATGATGAGGTCAAACGATTTTGGAAACGTCAGAGGAACCAATCAAATAACTGATCCGTCAGTTATTTTATGAACGTCCAAATAGCAGATACTAAAACAATATTATAAACATTCCTTTTGTGCAAATTCTGCAATAACAGAATTACAGGAATGTAGCTTTGTGTATTCGCATCTCCTGTTAAGTTGAAGGATAGTAAGGTGGAGTAATGTGCTATACTGAATTGCACCAGTAAATTCACAATGCACTATTAAATGGTATAGTTGACTACTGGTTTATTAATTTTCGAAAACTCTGTATTTGGGTTGTTGGCACTTTTGTGACCTTTGTATTCAGAAGCCTACATCACCCATATGCAAAAAATCATTTATATATTATGGATAGATGAATTATAGCTTGATTTTTAAATTACTCGGTGTTCTGTGTCCGGTCAAAAATATTGAAACTTATCAGGATGCAAGTTGAGGAAATTAAGCATGCGTCCCATTTGATACATTGCGTTTGTGCGAATTTTGCATTAAATTATCATGTGTTCTGTATACTAATATCTGTTAAGAATACAGATATCACAGAAGCCTGTAGTACGGATCTGTGCGTATACCCACACGGTCTGCTTTGTTTGCTGGCTATTTCTTTCTGCGCAAACAATATTTGCTACTCTATAACTATAGACTACTGTAGTAACTCCAGTATAAGCTCACCTTTACTCAAATCCCAGGGTATGACGAAAGGGGTGCAAGCCCAAATTGGCCAAATTCTGTGTTTATACTTTTAGTATATTGCCTATCGTCTATTATTTGGTCACCTTGAAGACCAAACATGTGTCCCCGTAATAGTGGAGTCCGGAATTGTTAAAAATGTGCTTTCCTTGTAATTTGTACAAAGGAGGGCTTTGCTGTAGTTTATTCACTTCAAAAAATATATTAATGATTTTGTAAAATTAATATATCAGTACAGTAATGATCAGTAACGGTTTAGTTGTCATTGTTTAAAACCATGTAATGGTTAACATAGTAGTGAGTTATTTCATATTTTATTTAATTTGTTAATTTATTATTGAGCAAGAGATACCTTGTACCTATCTATGTTTATACATTTTATATATTTTTTTCTCAATAAAATTAAGGAATGATTTGATAATAACCGGTTTCCAGCATTGTTCTGCAAGTTGAAGTCTAAGATGAGTTTATTGAATTAGACATAAGATGACTTGTCATCCTATTCATATTCGCTATCATATAGCCTCATAAAGGCTTCTTTGCTGCTACAAAATATCTTTGAAACAAACTCCTTTGTGAAGTTTGACAGGCTGAATTTAAGTCAGCCCTCAAATGCATCTTTTCAATAATTCTTTTCACTCTGAGACCATGCAGATGCCTTGTTTATTTTGTTTTTAACACCTGCATAATGAGCACTATATAAATGTTCATATTATTTATATTTCTGTATCTGCCAAATTAAACGGTATTCAATTCCCTGTCACTTATTTGTTTTTGCTACTAGTATTTCACTAATTACAGCTCCTCTAACTGTTTCCTCCACACGGCAATACAATTTTTAAAACTACAGCAATGCTTTTTCTCATAATTCTTCATCTTGTAAACGAATATGGTATGAATTCAGCTCCTCCCAGTTGAGTTCTATGGGGGCATTGCACATCAAATCGTTGCCTTCGCCCGTCTTCGGGAAAGCTATGACCTCCCTGATACTAGATTCACCGCAAAGAATAGCCATGAACCGATCAAAACCTAGAAAAACCGAAATTCAAGAACATATTAATTTTACTACTTTTCTTCAATCTGCTAGAGGTATATTGGATGACTGAATTGACTAGTAATGTTGGTGATAAAATGTTGCAGACCCTTGTAAACATTTCAATATCATTTAGTAAATAATATTCCCATCATACAAAGACTTGCATTCCTCCATAAATTTAGGACAGCTACTGTAAAACATTGCTTTTCACATGAAATCAAAATGTCCAATGCTAAGGTAGACAGGATCACAAGATGGAAGAATTATACTGACCAATAGCGATTCCGCCATGAGGTGGGCATCCAGACTGCAGGGCTTGTAGTAAGTGGTTCATGGAACTTGCATCTTCTTTCAGCACGTTTTCAAGTACATAACGTTGAAGTTGTTCATTGTGTATCCTAATGGAACCTCCGGCAATTTCAAATCCATTCAGTACTAGATCATAATGTTCACCATAAACCTGACATTGTTAAAAGAAAAATATGAATAGTGTCTGAATATCAAGTAGGACACATAGAGCCTTGCTTATGAAGATAATATGGATGTAGTTGGTGCAGCAGATTTAGCTCATACTCAGCCTTTGGGGTCAGGGTTCGAAACAGGTGGCACCAGGATTTACCTGGCAGGGGGTCCAATGTCACCGACGAAGGGCCTGACTCTCTGACGAGAACATAAGGGTGAATGGTCAGTCATGACCAAAATCTCTCAGAAGCCCGATCCAGCCCCCCCCCCACTGGTGCCACCCCCTTTTGTGTTAAATGAGCCTCTCTATACCCAGGAGTAAAATAGGGTACAGGCCTATGGTGGGAAGTTGTGCAGAAGTGGTGGCAAACTCACACAACCTGCACCATCTCGTCATTATCTTTTTTTATTTTTTTTTTTTCAGCATAACCGAGCAATAAGAATACAATACATCACTGTAGATAGTAATGACAAAATTATACACAAGTTGATATACTTCTCACCTTTCCTGGATTGGTGTGGATCAAGTCCATGTGTTCAGCTACAGGTGCAGTGAAAGGGTGATGGGTGGACTCCAAGCCCACCTCACCACCTTCTTTTGGGGTGAACAGGGGAAAGTTATTCACCCAAACAAAATTAAAGGCATCAGGATCTCGCATCTGGATTCCTTATAAAAGAATAACATGTGTAGATATAAACTAGAATCATTATGGCGAAGGATGTACAGTATTTGTTAAAGTCAGGCTCCGGAGGAAAAATATTTTTTGATATGTTGTACAACTGATTGTTCTAAGACACAAAAAACATATTTGATGAAAACTCAGGAGTAGTTAACGAGATACAGATTTTTGAATATTTAGAAACTGGGGGTAAATGGGTGGTTACATCCCTTTTCCACCAGTTTTTATATATTGAAAAATCTGCATCAAAGTTTTTTTTGTCAAATATGTGGTAAGACTCTACACTATCAAATTTCATAAAAAAAAAGTGTCACATAAAATGTAATCCAATTTGATATTATGTGATATGACGTCATTGTACCCATATATGGGCACATAACATTTTTTTTTGTCACATAAAATTTGATAGTGTAGACAAAGCTTTAGAAAAATTAGTTATATAACATATCAAAAAGTGTCTCCTCCTGAGCCTGGGTTTAAAGACAAAAGAGACCATGGGCAGTGTAATTAACTGAGAACTCATATAGGTGCTTGACACATAGTGTAATGGTTATATGGTTCAGAAAAGAATGAGATAAAAGCAGAGGAAAGGAGGAGTATTGAAAGTGAAGAGCTAAAGCAGAAAGGATATTATTCAATTCAAAATTTGCTATTGGCACAAATGCTAATAAAAGAAAATGATTTTTGTTAATTGTGCTCCAAAAAAGTGGAATAAACAACTAAATGAAGAGTAATGAAATGGTTTAAATGCAATACAGTACCTTTCCTTTCTAGTAAAGATGCAACTACTTTCCGTAAATGACCAAGAAGAGAACACTAGAAAAAACAAACAGTTAATTAATAGTACATATATAAAGGAAGGAGAGGGAGAAGACAGTCTGAGTGGGTAGCTAGAAAATGGTATGGAGAATGCGAGGAGATTGGCTTTCCGGAGAAACACCCACGGCTTTCTTCAGGGATAAGGCATGCTGAACTGAGCTGAACTGATATAAAAACAGAACTAACAAAATTTGAAATAAAGGATTCATCATCATTGCCTTCTTTCACAATAACCAATTCCTAAGAATTTTTAGCAAAGATCAGTTTGTTCTTTATTGATATGATTGGCAATAGTGTGCTCTTTATTGGCGCCTTCATAAATACTGGGGACCTCCTTGAGTTCTCAAACATGCTTGTCATGTCCAAGTACGGTGGGGCAAAGTATTAGGAGTAAATTACGTTTCAAACAACATATTGTATGTACAATAATAAAAATATTTACAATAGTAGCAAATGATGCTTAAAGAATCCCACACTGGAAGCCCTGCTATGGCATCTGCAGAGGGAGATAATCACAGTAAATTGACCAGTCTGTATAGGGATGTTTGTAAAATCAGGAATATATAGGTTTGAGATTGCACTCTATTAGAGAATTTGCCTAATCCCCATATTACATGATCATCATATTAGTCGCATGTATTGTGGTAAGACTCCCAGAATGAATGTTTGAATCATTTCCTGTAACTAAATGAAGTGGCGGATCCAGAAATTTGAAATATAGGGGGAACAGAGTGGGACTTTCGGGGTTGTGGGTCTGTACACCTCAGCCCCACCACAGTTGGGGCTGAGGTTAAAAAATTTATGATTATGGCACCTCTAGATGACCGGAAATGGCACTCTCAGACTTACAATTTGAATGTCATTTTAATTTTTTTTATTTTGAAAATTTAGGGGGCCCCGGCCGACTGGGTCCACCTTGCATCTGCCGCTGTTATACTTTGACGACAAAAGTTTTGCAATAAACAAAAATTATACCACAAACCATGATAAATTGTATTATTTTTGTAATGGTTAATTGTTTTAACATGTGGCAGAGCAAACAGCACAATAGAGCAACCATTCGAAAAAGCTTACCGTTACAAATGTATTTCCACCTCCTAATATAACAATATCACCAGTTTCTGCCTCCATTTTTACACATAGATTCTTTTGCACATCTTGTGATAAATATTTTGAAATGGGAGACTTCATCTCATTCTCAGCGGTCAGTTTCATGAAGGTTATATTGCGATCAAACCGATTCTTTGCTTCTAATTCCAACACCTTTAATTCTCTATTGCTGAGATGTTTCTGCAAATAAAGAATTCCAACATATGAAAATGACTCTTGCATAACCTTGTATAACCAGTAATTCTCATGACTAATATAAATTAGCTAGTTTAACTGAATTTAGTCCTTCATGAACAATACAAAAATGCAAAAACAAAAACTCAAATGTGTGTTGAGGATGGCAAAAAATAAACTTGATATTATTATAATTATTATTATTATTATTAAGAAGTCCTACAAGATGAATGAAATGAATATACAAGAGAAATTCTTACCATGCCCTCTTCTATTTTAATGGCCCTGAATATGAAGTCATTACTGTCTTTTGATAAGAATGACAAATCAGTGTCATCAAAGTTACTAGTTACATCGTGTATCTAAAAAAACAACACAATATTCAATGTTGTTTGCATCAGGAAGTTTCATAGGAGTGGTATTATGCCATAAATAAACATAGTAGAAATTATAGAGTAAACTTATGTTTCACTTAATGGGGGTTTTGGATGCTTATCTGTTTCTAATCTCATCAAACATCTTTATGTAACCAGTTTGAAAAATACACTAGGTCAAATTATGTGTTTTATTGTCCAATAATGAAAAAGAATAATATCCATTTGGCAATACAGGTACTGTGTATGATATCAGCAAAAACAATAACAGCATAGATGTCTATGTCTATTTTTCATTTTGAAATAAGCCACCAGCCTTACCAGCATTCCAAATCTTGTATCAGGTTTGTCACTTCCATACTGAAACAAAAAAACACAAAAGAAATTATAGATATCTGGTGTGGAAGTAATACATACAGACTATAGTTGACCAAATAATAGATTGTTTTGCATATAAATAATAATAATAACAAAAATAACAATAATAATAATAATAATAGATTGATTTATAAGGTGCAAATAAACAAGGTCTCTAAGTGCCCTCTAAAATTAGGCCTAGACATTCTAGGCAAATGCTTTCTTTGGCCAGAGGATTTTTAGCAGCACCAGTACTGTAGTCAGCCCATTTCCATTAAGGTTGCTACGCACTGTTCCATACTCATAAAATCTGTTTCAGAAAATGTGTCAAGTGAAGTTATGGATGTCCCTTATTTATTTTTCCCAATTCTGGACAGTGCCGTCAACGAGAAAGTTAGAGATGTAATAAGGGACCTGTAAAACGCTGAATGCAGGTACCTGGATTCCAAAAGAATGATGTAATCTTATATTAAGTATTTCGATAAATGAGCGGACCAAAATAAACAATTTAAACCAATAAAAATGCTCACATTTTTGGAGCCACGAACACGTACCTAAACTGAGTCACTAGCGTTGAATAGTTAGGCCTGGCTAAAAAACAGTACCTACCTAATAAAATGGGCCTAAAATATATAGAATAGACCTTAGCAGGATGAGTAAGCAACCACGAATAACACAACAACAATGAATCAAGCTTAGGTTAGACGGCCAAAAATACAAACTCAACACCACTTTCCAGGATGGCCCAGATCCCTAGAGTCTATGGGCCTATTTTCAAGTACTTACTTATTACAGTACCTATTTAAGAATGATAATGTTCTACCAAAAAGAAGGCCTATGCCTATGCAAGAAGTAAACCAATCATGTGACTTAACAAAATCAGTCATGCATAGGATATCACACATGGAATTTGATGTGTTAAATTTTATGCATGAATGATCAGGCAGCGTTTGCCCAGGCCCTAATCCACCAGAAAAAAATAAATAAATCAAGTATGAGACTCAAATTAAATTTGGTATGAGATGCACTGAGCACAATAAAAAGAGAGTACAGTAACCTACATTTAGGGCCTGGAATTCAGAATAGATAAGTGAAACTGTTAAAAACATGACCTCTCCACCATGTCGTTAATATGCCATGTCATGTACGTCAACTATCAATTTGGAAACCTACCTTGTTGATTGCTTCAGAATAAGACATTCGTGGGAATGGTAGTTGTAGTTGACCTTTGTCCTCTGGCCAAGCGCTATTTATAAGCTCTTCGGTGAGATTTAAAATATCGTTTTGTTCAATAAATGACATTTCTATATCAACCTATGAAAGAACAATTTATTATAATGTAGTTGGAATATTTGATAATAAAAATATATAGAAGCAAGGATATAATATTAGGGAGTTAATTGCATGTGATTTAAACATTCTGAAGTTAAATTAAAGTTTGAATATAGACAAATAAAACACCTGGGTGAACTCTGGTTGTCTATCAATTCTTGCCCCTTCATTCCTGTAACACCTGGCGAACTGAAAATATCTGTCTATACCACCAACCATCAGAAGCTGTTTAAACTATACAAAAAAGAAAAAAAACCAAATCAATTTCAATTTAGTTTGTCAATTATCTGATAAAAAAATAGGTTAGACAATAGCAACATGGTTACATAAAATCAATGACACAAGCTTCTGTTCTAGATTTTTAGAAGTGCAAGCACCAAGGGTGGGGTGTATACAATAGATCACAATATACTGATTTAATGTTTATCCAAAAAATTTTTTCAAGAAATAGAGCACAACTACAGGACCAGTGCTGTATGTGTGCAAAAAATCATAACAAACAAGTGTTTGGAAATGGATGCTTGCCTGTTTACAAACTATGATGATATCACATACAAACACATGCACACACACACACACACACACACATACACAAAGACAATCGCAAAGTCTCCTATTAGGAAACAAAACATATTTTTAAACAGAATAACAATGGAATTGGAGAGACAATGATGAGCCTACATACTGTACATTCTGTGATTTATTAAGCAGCCATAAACCGTTGGTGCTCAGCTAATGACGCTTTGTTAATATGAACTTATGTACTTGTGTATCGCAATATTGTCAGTCTGAAAGGAGGCTAAGTGATTGTAAGTTGGACGAGTTGAAGTACCTGTTGCGGACTTTGTGGCAGTGTGTAGAACTTTCCTTTTTGTTGACTAGGTACAATAAACTCTCTGGCGCCCCCTGGAGTTCTCCGAAATAACGTTGGAGTTTCAACTTCTACAAAACCTGTAGACAGAAGATCAGGTAAAAGATTTACCATCATCATATATGTGGCAAAGACAAGCCAAACCAGTCACTCATTGCTGAAATCGATTTTTAGTAATTAATACATGGTTAAACAGTAAAATGAGAGCTATAAAATGGTAAAACAATCATTTAAATTCAAAATTTTGTTATGAAGATACAGGAGTTTAAACATACAGATGTTTAAAGAACAATATTTGAGACATTAACCTTCAGAGTTTACAATTTCGGGCAGAAACCATCAATGGATCGTTAAAAAGTGTTGTTTTAACATTGGAAATGGGGAAAATAACAGAATAGCATGATGTATAGATATATAAAGGTTAGTTTAGTGCAATAAAATAGATTTTGCCATTCCAGCATGTTTTGGCCATTATCTATGAAACAGGATTTGCGACGAGTGACTGGTTTGGCTTGTCTTTGCCACATATATACATCACAATTTTATTATGAATAAAAACATATTACCATAATTACTGAATAAATCAATTTAGCAAAATTTACCATGTATGCACAGAAATTGCCTCATGTCATTTGCAACCTTTGACCTCAGCCTCAAATTCTGCTGCATCTTAATATTCCTTAGATCAAGATATCGGTGCTGCATTCTGAGTGGCTCCTTGACCTGATGAAAACAATCATCAAAAGAAAATCACATGAATGGTAATCAACAGTGCCCACTATGAAAATCATTTTTCCCCCCTAGAAAAAAAATATATAAATACGTATAATTATATTGATTTAACACATTCCAGTTTATATCCACAACTTGTCAATTGCACAGATTAACAACCTAATTTAAATAAAACAAAAATTATGTTGCATGATCTGCTTTTGATGTGATTAATAAAAAATTCATACAAAATAGATTAAGTAAAAAGTACAAAGGTAAAGAATCATGAATGAGGATGTACAATGTTGTGCATAATCTGCAATGGATTGTTCTATTATTTTTAAGGTAGGTTTTATTTAGGAAATAATCAGACAATAATTGATTTATCCAGGAAAGTACTATATTCACAAAATAGACTAAGGAACTCACCTTCTGGAAATCATGCACTTGGAAAGGTAGAGCTTCTTTGCAGGGGTTAAGTATCTCAAAATCTGATGCCACAACTTCAATGTCACCAGTACTCATTTTCTGATGATCAAACACGTAATAGATACTGATGTTACTATGATATTACTTTGTAGGGAGTAGAAACATGCATGCACAGCAACACACATGCTTATGATTATTTGTAAAAGTGCTACAGCACTTGTTGAATAAATGAGGCTGTCGTCAAGAGACCAAGGTTGTGGCTGAATTGATTGTGTATGTCTAAATGATTTGAGCAATGCAGACAAGATGAAACTGATTTTGCCTGCTTTGTGATGTCCAGTGGAGTAATGCCTATAGCCTCTGGGGGGGGGGGGGGTGAACCCCAACACCCCAATCCAAAAGGGTTCCAGTGGGCTTGACATTACGGTTCATTAGGGAGCACCAAGAACTAGCAAATTAAAACAATTTAAATCCCAGGTTCTTAATTCTTGACAACACTTCTTTATAGGACTCTTTCTATTCCCGGCACAAAAGTGTTCCACTATACTCAAATTTAGATAGTATGAAATAATGTTGAGGGCTACTAGAATTCACAGAAAATTTGAATGAAAATAATACAACAGGCTATGATATTGTTGATATTCTACTGGGTGGCCACTCTGCTGCATTTGTGACACTTGTAATCGATTACTAAAATGCATGGGGCCCAACAATTTCCTGAGGCTTACCGTTATGCCACTAGAAATGTCACTGTTAATTAAAATATCTGATTATTCTCATTTAAAAAGAATCAAATTTAATTTAATACTTTCCCCAAGACACAGATCAAAACACATTTTAATTTTTAACAATTTACAGAACCAATATAATCCAGACAAAAAGAAAAATTCTGTATTCTGAAATTGTTTATATTTATAATGTTTTCTTACCTCATTTTCTAATCCATCTGGTCTCCGCTGAACAAACCCTGTAACTTTGACAACAGATTCTAATGAAGCATCCATCAATTGCTGGACCATTTCTTTTCCATGCCTCTAAAAAATGAGAATTTTACCACCAGTATTAAAATTTAACGTATTATTAATTTCTACGAAAAATAATAATAATAGTTGGATTTTTATAGGGCATCATGCAAAAAAGCCTCTAAGCGCTTGGTGATGGAGCTCCTTGAGCTTGACATTTTGATAGTGGGAGAAAAAAGAAAAAGATGTAGCCCTACGAAACTAAAACCTACTCCTTAAGCTAAAGCATGGTTGGCCGTTGGCTCCGAAGAGTTCATCCGCCCTTTGTTCAGCTATTTTTTTCTTGCTGCTGGGTGTCCATCCACCCTCCCACTGCCAGCCGCTAAGACCACCAAATGGGGTTGCCAGAATCAGTCGGCAGTGGCTCAACCGAATGCAGTTTATAACATCGTAGCAACGACATTATAATCTTATACTACACTTAAATGAACTAAGTAACTAATTGGTTACACTATCCCCCACCGGGGGATAACAGTATTAGACTGTCTTTTTGTGCTAAAAAATTATAAAATATGAAATTGAAACAAAAAATATACACTTAAAAATGAATGAAGGCACCCACGAAAAAGTAAGTGACAAAACTGAAATGTCCCCTCCAAATACCAGTACTGTCACAGTCACTCATATACTAAATATTAAAGGGAAAAAAATCTTGGTGTCACAGGGTTTGAACCCAGGACCAAAGGATTGAAAGGCATGTACATTACCTTAACAACCAACTGACTTCACTACAAATTATGGCACATACAGTAAGTTCCAAAATGTTAATGTCAATAATTTACTCGCTTACTTCTTCCGTTGGGAAAACCACTTGTGTAGCACCCGAAGAATCTCGCAGAGTGAACATGAAGTCAAATCGTTTATGCTGCACCCAACCATACAGTGCGACCTTTTGACCTGCATTGACAGCTCTTAACTCGTCACAACTGTGACTTTTGGAGCAAAACCTGTTACCTAGAAAAACAATTTAATAATATTAAACTGTGCTCATAAAAACTACTTTTTTGTCAAATAAAATGTGGTTGCCAACTTGATAGCAGAAATAGCGTTTGTTTCTTTCTTTTGTAATTTTTTTCTTCTCTCCGGTATTTCTGTTTTTGCACGGGGATTTTCTGGCCAGCACTTTCATCACTTTCCATGCTTGGATCTTCTTCAAACTTTGTCCACATCGACCCATTACTTAAATTTCATTAATGAACCCTGAACCTACTAACTGTAGATACAGTTGAACTTGCCTTAGGGCCATAATGTCACTGGCAATGTTCAAATTATGAAGACATTTTAATCTTCAAAAATCACTTTCTAAGATACACATCATGAACAAATACATGTACTTAATTTAAAGTGATAAATAGTACATTATTTATCCATTATAAAGCATCTAATTAGATATTTGTCAACGAGGCTTGAGCGGTTGAATGGAACAATCAATCTTTCAGCTCATGAAAATATTCTTCCCATTGCATCACATTTTCATAAAAATACAAATAATATATACAGTACATAGGGCAAATTAAAGTTCATAGCTCAGACTGACATGCCAATGGGCAATGTTCAGGGCTGCCAAAGTGCCCCTTTTATCATACCAATTAGAATCAAATGAATAAAACTTTATAACACTATGTTTATGGACTTACGGTACTTACTCACTCTCTATGAAGAATAAACATTTTGCGATTGTGAAAACTCGAATGTCTGGCTCAGGTGTTGGAACAGAGGTGGACATAAAAGTAGGTCAGAAGGCCAGAAAATTGACATTTCCATTTGAGCTTACAAAAAACTTCGAGCATGCTACTTTATACCACCTTACTCTCAATTAATATTACTATGATTGGTGTTGGGCCGTAAAGGTGTTTCCTAGACAGAAAAGTTTGGCAGGCAGCACACAGGTTTTTTAATTTATTTTCGTGGGCCACAACAATATTACAGACGGGCCGTATTTGGCCCATGAGCCGCACTTTACCCATCTATGTTGTAGACAGATTAATCTCATTTAGAGGTCAAGACCTTTCAACCAATCAAAAAATAGCAAATTAGTTAAAATTCTGAGTCACACATCATCATAAACAGCGGAAGTGAGATATTCATCACAGGTACGTACCTGGGCCCCTTGCCTTGTTTAAGGTCTGGGCTGGGGTTATAAACTTTAGCCAGAGCGTGGCCTAGATAGGACCAGGACTCCAGTAATAAGGTGCTTGAAATGACACATGACCCATCATGCACCTCCACCGGATAATTATCCTTTCTGTCATCTTTAATTGCCAGATCATAACATGGGGGCACAGACACAAAAATAACAATAAAAATTGCATTTATCAAGGACTTACCACTAATACAAATTAATATTACTACAAAATTAGTCTGATATAATAGCTGTAGCCTGCTGGGTGGCTTGAAACTGATTAATTGATTGATAATTTGACAAGACCAAGCAAATACAGTATGCGAGCACAATGTAAAAATTAAGGCCAAGTCCTACTGTAAGTCTCACATTTTTATGTTGACTTGGTTTCAGTTTCAACATGACAAATTTTATAATTTTTCCTTCAATTTTTCCTTTAATTTTTGATGTCAATTTCTATTGTTTTTAAGTTGTCAATTTCTGTATTTTTTACATGTATTATATTTTTTAACTTTTGTTTATCGCTTATTCATATGCAATTCAGCCATGTGCTGCAATGTTTGCATTTTATTGGAAGACTGAATAAATATACCTCAACATAAATCATCATCATGCTATGAAAAAAAAAATAAACACCCCAAAAAAATGACCACCAACTCCCCACAGCATCCCAACACCTCACATCCCCACCCCTCACTTGACACCTACTGTACCCCACTGACCGCCTCATCCCCACCTCTCTCCACAACACGATCCATATATATGGACCATGCATCATATCCATATGACACCCGCGATTATACGTTCCGATAGAAGCTTGGGCACAACTAGGCTAGGCCTACCCATTAACAATAAAATAGTATTTGGGGACTAGTTTTAGGCATAGGCCTACTTGGTATCATCATATCATAGATAGGCCTAGGCCTAGACAAGACTAGGCTAGTTACTAGCCGCTAGTACAAGAAAGTTGAAAATGGGCGGCGGGGCTTATAAAATAGACTAGGCTAGATAGAGCAGTAGACCCAGCCTATAGCCAGTTCAGTAAGCTACCTAGCCGGCCTGCCTACCTACCTACACTAGGCCTAGGCCAGAGGCCTACCTAGACCCTAGCTAGGAAGATCTCGAGTTCCTCCTAGAGGCCTATCCTAGGCTAGGCCTCTAGATAATAAAGGCCTACTTTCTAGTAGGTAGTTTAGTCAAGATTGATGCAGAAAAACACACTTACTCTCACTTCTACTGGAAAAGTTTCGGCCAAAGTTTCTGCATATTTGTCTATTATACACTGGTTTTCTAATCGACTGGTTTAGAATAGAAAAACATCTACTACAAAACGTACGCATGACTAGTCCTAAATATAGGCTACTACTAGTAGGCCTAGTCTAGACCTAAAAATCAAAACAACTCCAGAATTTCTGCAAACGCCATGTGCTTCTCAGGTCATAAGCTTGAGGGCGTGATATAATTATGGAACGCCAAAAAGCAAGCTGTTAAACAGTTTAAATAAAACGACAAAAGCATTTTCATGCAACCATCCATTCCACATACAGTACTATCGATGTACCGAAATCAGGTAAAAAAGGCCATAAACCAAAACGACAATAAGTCAAACGAAAAATGACCAAAACGGCAATAAACTAAAAACGGCAACGCTTTTCTAGCAAGAACGGAAAATGGCCAAAACGGCAAAGCTACGATCAACTCCGGGCAAAGTAGGCCCGGCTAGGCCCATAGTCAAATGGTTGTAGAATTTAAATTGAAATGCCAGAAAATGAGTATATTTATATTTTTCCATATGATTCTGCTTTTGTATCTTCACAAATTATTATCGGCCTAACGAAAATATTATGATCAATAATATTAATATGTTCGACAATGTTCGACAATTAATGGAACTCAAATATTAAACTATTAATTAAGTTGGAAAATGGTACTAGGCCTAAATAAATAAAAACCTATCTAAGACAACTATATACGTAGTTGTCTCAGGCCACGACATGTAAATAAATACCAAATTAAAACGTACGGTATTCAAAAATGAATGATGATCATATTAAAATATTAATAAATTAACTTAAAACATTCTACAATTAAACGGTTCATGGTGAAATATTATCGAATAATATGCCTTAGCCTGTGTGTCTACGTATTTTCAGTATGAGTATAATTATGGACAATAATACTCAAGCGTTTGTTAATGTATGACCATTCGCCGCTGATGTTTTGTCAGTGAAGCTGTTGCATTGGTATTATTGCATTAGCTGAAATTAAGCAATTGATGGAGTGACTTTTTTTTTCGGAAAGGGACATTGCCGTTTTGGTACCGTACTTGTATTCGACGGTTTGGTTTATTGCCGTTTTGACATAGCCATTTTGGTCATTGCTGTTTTGGTTTATTGCCGTTTTGTATAGAAACAACATGTTACCCTGTCATCGTTTAATGGCTAGTGGTGCGATTTTTTTTTCTTTCCTCAAATTCCTTTACTATGGTGGCGGACTGCATACTGGCTCTTCTTTGTAAATGAAAAAAAAAAAAAAAAAAAAAAAAAAAAAAAAAAAAAAAAAAACAGAAAAAAGCATCAACAAAAAAGATCAATACAAATTCAAAAGAAAACCCTGGTAGAAGTGTCATCCATATGGGGTAGTGAATCAATGTCACTGTAGGTTAATAATTCTATTATTTGATATGCCTGCAATAGTGAAGCAGATGAACAGGCCCGTGGGAAGACGTTTTTTGGTTCGACCAACAAGGAAACGAAGTCCCACCCCTTTAACCCGGAGAGGATACTGCACTCCCATCTGTACTTTACTTTTTCTGCACAAAAATATAATTTCGGTTAAGTTTGTTGCAATTGAAAAGTATAATCTTAAATCCTTGCTTAATTATCTTGTTGAAGAGAAGTAATTAGCATGATAACATTAAATCACTTCATTTTTATATTTATTATTATTATTAATATTATTATTACTGTATTCTTCTTCTTCTTCTTCTTCTTCTTCTTCTTCTTATTGCCTTATTATTCTTCTTCTTCTTCTTATTATTATTATATTATTATTATTATTATTATTATTATTATTATTATTACTATTATTATTATTCTTATTATTATTATTATTATTATTATTATTATTGTTATTATTATTGTTATTATTATCAGTAATTGAGCATTGAATAAAACTGAGACCTTTGGTCTCCAAGCATGGCAAACCATAAATTTGACATGGCAATATCCCATCTAGAACCAAAGTTTTGTTAACTTTTTTATTTTTTGCAAACGCAGCTTTTGCACAGTTGATCATTATCATTTTTTCCTGGGCTACCTATGCTGAGTTGGTGTAGTGATCCATGCATTAGCGTAATGGATGAGCTCTCACCGGCTAAAGCCAGGTGCCCGGAGCCTCAAGGGCCCACAGCACATTCGAATATCTTTTTACAAACAAAGAACCAAAGCCCTTTTCCAAGTTTAAGTATGCCGAGTGATTGGGGAATTTTTATTATCCTCTCTATCGCCAGTCAATATATGGATGAAAACATTGAGAGAAAAAAAACCAAAAAAACATTAAGACCAACAACTACGTAAAACAAGAAATTAAACCATGAGCAAAAGCATTGACACATGAGTATGTTACATATTTTTTGTCTATAAATAATCATTGAGGCTCGTTTTGTTTGATATTTATTGTAATACACTATGTTATTAGTGTAATGTAATGTAATATTAGTTAAAATTAAGTATGCTTGTTTTGGGTTAAGTCACGATACATAAACTTACAATTCGAATTAAAAAATGCGATAAAAAGTTCGCCCCAGACCCCCACCGGGGCCCTCTTCGCGACCCCCGGCCCAAGCAACTGGGGCCCTAATGGGCCCAGGCTGCCCCGAGCCTCCGACAAGTTCGTTACGCCACTGGATCCATAACCCAGGTACTTGAAAGATTAGGATTTTGCAGCTTAGTCTTTTTGATGTGTGTTAGGCCTATGTTCTGGATATGTACCATCAGATAATTCTTCAAGCCAATTGAACATTATTGTTTGTATTTTAGGGATATTAACATAGTTACCAACCTGAGAGATTTGAAATGCGTGACTATACCAGTTGAATGGGGGAGGGGAGAGGTCGCCAGGGTCCCCGTGGTCCAGAGGCGGAAACCCGGTGGGGGCTCAGTCACATAATCAACAGTTGGTTGTGACAATGAACGCGCAAGATCACACGCGACTACTAAATATGTACTGTGGTTGGCTTTGTTGTTTTGGTAGGAAAAGGGAAATTTCCTCGGTGAAAATTGATTCTCGAATGAGATAAACAAAAGCTCTCTAATGATTCAAGCTACTGCATGACGGTTTTTTTATTTTTAAGAAAACCAATTTCTTTTATTTTTAGATAAATTTTTCCCTGAATTCCTGATAATTCGTTATCACTCATAGACTTGCGCTAAATGCAGGACAAATTTATGATCACGCATGTGTTTCTGCAAAATCATATGTTTCATCCAAAATCACATTGAAATGCGGGACGGTCCCACACGATGCGAGACGGTTGGTAACTATGTATTCACTTTCAGTCCAATTAAAAATATTAACTATGTGCTGAAGGTCTACGGACGACCAGCTATATAACACACTAACTCATCTACAACTTATTTCAATGATTTCTTCTCTGTTCTCGGTTTGTTGCTTCAGTTATAGGAAGTTAATGTTTAGGTCATTGTTCACCATCTTTAAATCGCTCCTTGAACACCTTTTAAGACATATTCTAGGTGCAATTAACAAGCTCAAATTGGTCAGCAGAGTTCCCTGTTATCGTGTGTCTTGTATAGTGCTTTTCATTGTCACATTCCCTTTAAATTGACTCCGCTCACTTCAGCCTGAACTTATCATTTCCACATTAAACCTTTGAACACCCTTTTCCATTTTCCCCTGAATTCGCCCTCCACTGTCCCTTGTAAATAATTCCAATGTTTTGTATATAGGCTTAATATATGTTTGCTTTTGTGTGAAACGTTTGTGGATATTGGCACTTGATGGCATTGTTTTGTTTTATTTTTTTCAGGCTTTTTTCTTTGTTTTCTTGACTTCAATATTGTCAAGCGAAAAGAGATATCGTTTATTTGCGCTATATAAATCCATCTATTTAATATTATTATTATTATTATTATTATTATTATTATTATTATTATTATTATTATTATTATTATTATTATTATTATTATTATTATTATTATTAATTGTATAGCTTTGAATAAAATTGAGTCACTGGGTCGGGTCCACATGCTTACGTGGCGGAGTTACAGGCAACGCCACCACGGCCCACGTATAGGCCTACTCCTGGGCAAAGATAAAGTGCCTTGCTCAAGTACGCAAGCGAAATGCACAGCGAAGGATTGGAACCTCGAGGATGGGAAACAAAACCGTTTTTTTTTTTCTTTTTTTTTTTTTTGCAAGG